GAAATTAAGATTCTGCATTCAAACAAATTTCGTGTATTTGCAACTAAATCTGGAGACTTGTAAACAAAATGATGTCACAACATGTGCTAAATTTTCTTGAATTTCTAGAGAAATACGTTTTTGAAACAAATTTAACTGTGATATTCTYATTAATGCCAATAAAATACACATTTTTAACATTAAAATGTTTTCGTGTCATATGCACTTTAAGCAATTCCCTTCGTATTTTCTCATTAACCTCGCATCATAACACTGATAATTTCGAAAAGGATATTTCAGTCACCAATTACCTTAGGTGACCATCTCCCTATCGATAAGACCTTTCAATCAGTTCCTTTGAGTGCCCAATTGTGGTTCTTACTTCATGAAGAGGACACTGAGTGTACGTAATTCAATAGTCACAACAAAAGACTCCAAGTTATATTGTCTATAGAACAAAGCTTACAAAGGATACAATAGGTTTCTATTGAATTAGTACACTGTGCCCTCTATTGTATCCTCTACACGAAGATATACCCCCAACTCTCTCTATATCTCTTGGAAACTATATTATTTTTATCAGATGTCATTGAAAAAGCTAAAGAGTTACTGGAGTTATTAAAACAAGCACAAGAACTCAGCAAGGAAAAATGTTATGATCCAAGTGAATTAAAAAATAAACCGTCCAAAACTAAAAGGTACTTTTAGTTATCAAACTCAACGTTAAACATGTGTTTGTTTGAGGCGGCTTTGTTTGTGTTGAGAAAGATGGTGACAATAGGTAGGGTTGAGGTGTCTCAATGATGACGATGATGAAGAATATAATGACAAGGGAAGATGGTGTTGATGATGATGACTAGTGATATCGAGGGTGATGCAATTGATGATGAATGATAACACGATGACAATAATGATAATGATAAAGCTGCTGATGATGTTGATGATGTTGTTGATGATGAAGAATGCAATGACAAGGGAAGATGGTGATGATGATGATGGCTAGTAGTGATGTTGAGGATGATGACGATGATGAATGATGATAACAATAATGATAATGATAGTGATGAATCTGATGTTGATGATGATAATGATGATGTGATGTTGATGATGATGATTCCAACATTCTAATCCATGTTTTATCTTTGCAGGTCTAAAAACATAGGATTAGGAAATGGCCAAAGAAAGTCCAAAAACTTTGAAGACTTTGTTCTGGAGAAGAGAGTCTACTTACGCGAAAACTTAAGGCTGTGTGAACGAGCGACACAAAAAGTGCTCATTTATTCCAACAATTTCTTGCACAAGAAGCTCAAGACAGACCCAACGGTGCGTAGCGTCAACGATGATAATGAATAGTGAAAATGATGATGGTGCAATGATGATGGTGATGGCGATGATGGATGATGATGGTGATGGTGGTGGTGATGATGATGGTGATGGCAATGATGGGTGATGATGGTGGTGATGGTGGTGGTGGTGATGATGTTGATGAGTGATGGTGATGATGATGGTGGTGATGATGATGGGTGCTGATAGTGATGATGGTGGTGGTGATGATGATGTTGATGGGTGATGATGGTGATGATGATGATGTGATGTGATAGTTTTCATGACTGATGACGATAATGATACCATATAATGTTGATAATAATGATGTAATGATGATAGCAATAATTATGTTAAAAGTGATGATTTCAGAATGTAACATATCTTCCTCTTTCTCACCTTAGAAAGCTGTTCGTATTCAAAGACAGAAAGGCAAAGCCGCCCTCGGGAAACTAAAAGAACTAGATGAGCTAAAAAAGGATAAATGCTGTGTTGATAATTGTACCTTGGTAAGGTTATCTTTCTCTCTATACCCTAGACAACCAGCCGATTCAATGGTCTAATTCGTYGTTCTTTTGGTTTTTTTTTTAATCATCAGATCGCCCAGTCCCATATCAAGCTCCTTCAACAGTGGCGAGATCGTGCGGTGTCGGGTCAGACCGAAGCTCGCCGAGTGCTTGCCGAAATGTTAACGCCATCGGGTGGTGCTCGGTCCAACTGTTACAAGTTTATTTCCTGGGTTACGGGCTGTAGTCATAGTACGATTGGACGAGTCAACGAACAGATGAAGCAAACAAGTAAGCTGACGTAAAAATATCACTCCCTTTCAGGCAATTCCGTAGTAAAGCAAAAATTTTCTAGTCGTTTCTATTACCTCTTGTAAATACATACCATTTTTCCAAATTCAACGAAATCAGTGGGTGTCGTAGTTGTAATGCACTCGCCTCTCACCTCTTGAGTCTCCGGTTTTATTTATGGACTCGACATCACATGTGAGTAGAGTTTGTTAAGTCTCTTCTCTGATTTGAGGGTTTTTCTCTGGTTTCTCTGGTTTTCTGTAAGTTCTGTAGTCGCAGTTGCAATAGAGAGGCTCTTACTTCTTCTTAATGTGTCGTAATTTTCTTTCGCAGGTGGTGACCGCGAGCCACCAACTCACGGGCTCATCAAGTGGTGGCGCGAACATCCCAAACCCAAAAAACCCAAACCGGTCAAACAGGCTCCACAACCGGTTGACACAGCCCAACAAGTTGCCTTACAACAGATTCAGCAGGCCACCATGCCTCAAGTTACTAACATTCTCCAAGCAGCAGTCAGCTCTGCAGGATTGGCAGCTGTCATGATGCCTTCCTTAGCAACCACCGTTCCCTTGGCAACAGTCAGCACGCACTCTTTGACTCAGCCACAGTTATCTACAGTGACTTTTAATAACGGGACTTTACAGATACAACAACATGGTTCACATCAGCAGCAACAGCAGCTCCAAGTACAAGCTCCTCCAGTACAACAAATACAGATACAACAGCAACAGTACGAGCAACAAATACAACAGCTACAACTGCAGCAGTTCCAGCTACAGCAACAGCAACAACAGATACAACAACGACTGCAGCAGACGCAGCAACAACTACAACAGCAATTACAACAAGCCCAGCAACAACTACAACAACAACTACACTGCCTTCCTACACAAGTTACATTACAAAACACCCAACAACAACAACAACAAATTATTTATACACAACCACAAGAAATCCATGTCGTCCAGCCTCAACAACAGCAAATCCTCCAACAAGAAACAGTACAAAGAGAAATACAACAAGAAGGACAGCAAACCGTTGCAAATATTCCTGTGTCTAACATTGTGACTGTTGCAATACCTGCAAATGTTCCTGTCTCACAGGCGACTTCATCATCCAACGATTCATTCTTGTCATCAGAAGCTTTCCATTTCGCACTGAATCAGCTTCCTCAACATTTAGTAATACCAGTTTCTACGAATAGTAATGTTACGCAGGCTGTCCCTGTTTCGCTTATTCAGACGAGTCAAACGTCGATGCAGTGAGCGAGTATTTGGTCTACTGTTAAATACAGCGGTTTTTGTATGATTGGAAGATGAACGGACTTACCGCACGTACACGGTACGACATGTCGTAACATTGAAATGGCTTTCCACAAAATTTGTTAAAGTATGAGTGAGAAACGTACAGTACTGACTTACAGCACATACACGGTACGACATGCCGTACTCACTGGCTTCCCATTGGCTTCCAGTAATTTACCCAATCACAACACGTAGTTACGGCTACGGTAAGATACGGTACGGCTTCGAATTTGCCGTATAGTTGCCCACGTACCAAAACTGCTCTAAACGCACGCGCGATCGTCGTCGCAACGATAAACGTTTTAGTAGACGTCAATCAAAGTGTTTCTATGGCAACTTCAGGAACTCAGTTTTCAAGAGTACTAATATCACGGAAACGCCATCGAAACGGCCAGCTTTGTCGCGAAGGAAACTTTTACGATTGCGCGCGTTTAATGATTGAAAACGAGTGTAACTTTAGGCGTGAATTACAGAAAGGTTTTAGGGAGAAAAAAATTYTTATATAAACCATTAGTCCTGTAATTATATTTGATAACAAATGGTTCTTCGAACCTCTAGCTATTCTGGCTTTAAGGTGTCTGTACTAAAAAAAATAAATTTAGCGTGTGAAGTCTTCGTTAACTGAAGGACTAGAACTGAAAAACGTCAGTGTTAGCTTATAGTTATTTTTAGATTATAGACGTCATAGTAATTAAGAATGAACAATTATGAAAGAATTCACGACTTATTTTGCTTCCCGCACCGTTTGACAGAATTCTGCTCTAAATTATTGCATAATAAAGAGCGGTACAAAGGAAATTGTAAAAGGAAACTAAGGAGAAAGAAGTTGAAATGAAAAAGAAAAGAATGAAATTTTGTGGGTTTTGTGTGTGTGTGTGTGTGTGTGTGTGTGTGTAAATACAAGAGATAAATAGTACTTGTGTAGAATTTGAGAGACTTCTCATCGAATAAAAATATGGCATTTCTGGTATTTTTAGTTGGCGCCGACCAAATCGGAAGTAAAACGATTTTGCATCTAGAATTTTTCCTTAGCAACTCCACTGCTTAGCGACGAAATAAGTTAAAAACCCCTTAAACGATRTCGATCCGTGTTTGGGACAAAAACTGTTCACACGCTCGAAATATTTTTTTGGGCTGAAATACACTTTGAAAATTCGATTTCMTTGATATCTTGAGTTTAGAGATTGGTGAAAGCAAAATGAAACTGAGATTTATTCGAATGTATTAATAAGGCACGAACGAAATATGATTACGTCACATAGTGCGCGCATACGTCACTGGTTCTTTATGACGTCATCAAGCGAACTATCCTGTTTCAGTGGTATATAAGTTGTGAGTTAAATCTGGAGATATCTTCAAAATCGAGTAGTTATTTAGTCCGTTTTTGGTTGGGGTGTTTAAAGCAGCTTCAACGAAGAAGCAAATATCAAGAGAAAATGTATTTTTTTACGAAAATAATTGAACTGAAAAATCTTTGTTCAAGCTCAAAGTAGGGTTGGACTGACTCGGAAAAACGATGACAAACGAAAAACAGCTAGAGGTGAGTGTTCGGTAGAACGAAATAACGGAAAAACGATGACAAACGAAAAACAGCTAGAGGTGAGTGTTCGGTAGAACGAAATAACGCCTTATTTTCATCGTCTGCTCAAAGATATTTCTTTACTTTCATAATATCATTCATTCTATAGACACTTTAGAACTTGCAACAATTATTTTCATCGTCTGCTCAAAGATATTTCTTTACTTTCATAATATCATTCATTCTATAGACACTTTAGAACTTGCAACAATTCATGTGTTTCAGTTTTAACCCTTTTCTAATAAAACTGCAAGCGTGGGTGTATTAAACACCTTTGGGCCCCTGTAACCAACCCATGCTAGTATGCCCGGCTAAAATACCAAGTCGTGGCATATCTGGCTGAAATGTCTTCTTTGTTGATATTACTGGATATTAGGAGTTGAACAAAAACTGCATCGATGTTCAAGATCTCCCGAAATGCAAGTCGGGAAGGCACAAAAAGTCCATGCAAATAAGTAAGTAAATTTGAAGTGGATTCAAATGCATTACACATCCTATTGAACCAAACTACCAACACACACAAATACGCACCTAAATGTTCTAATACAAAGGTTGCTAAAAAGCCCTCTTGATCGAACCGCAGGATAAAAAATCAGAAAAAAGCATCTTTCGTTAGAAAGCTGAGAAGACTAGGGTTTGGATACGAGATGTAAACTAAAAATAGATTGTTGATTCTCAGCCAAAGTCAAAATTCTTACCCCTCATCTTCAACGAAGTGATATCTTTTACAACAAGTGGAAGAAAGAGGAAATTAAGATCTTTGAAAAACTGTAAGTACTATTCATTAATATTGAGTTATGTATCATAAATTGATATTGTGCATTCTATTATTCATAAGAGCAACTGTATAGAGGCTTTGCACCATCATGTGACGGCAGCCATGTTAGATGGCAGGAACAACACAATCGTTTTACATGAGAAAGAATTCAATCCCAAGAGCGAAGGAATTTTATTGTTATGCCATCTAACCACAGGCAGCCCAAACTGTGTTATGGGCGTGGGCACATGATGGTGCAAAAYCTCTATTTAATAAGTTATCCTCTATTTGTAACCGACGTGAAGTTTGACTCCAATGAACGGCGGAATTATAAAAATCGAACCTGTTCCGTTAACAAACTGTTTCTTTGTACAGGTATGTCAAGCTTTCGCGGTCAGGCAACAAACGTCACGTGTTCGAATCTATTGCTAATAACCTTCCAAATAAGGTATTACTGTCTTCTCTTAACTTTCCGTTTTTCAGTTAAAAAAAAAAAAACAGCTGAAACTAGCGAACGGGAGACAGCCAGAAGACTGCCTCAGCCTCGAAAATGGCGGAAGGACTAAAAAAACTGCGCTTGCGCGTCTTCTTTAAGACACGTCGAGTTTAATAAAAATTATACTTTCCCGATGTGCGGGCAATTCAGTCCGAGATCTGGGAATAATAGTTTAGATCTTAGTAAATACGAGTTGGTTGGTGTAAACTAGTCTATTTTAATACGAGTTTTACTTTTGAATTGGTTTTCAGACTACTAGAGATTGTGTTCAGTATTACTATCTGTTCAAGAACATTGGAACCTTTAAAACAAAGTTGAGGGTAAGTAGATGATATCTGCTATATAACGTGTATTGCGCCAAGTAAAGATGAGAATAGAAAAAATGGAAAGGGAAAGAGATGGTAGATCGAAAAGGAAAGGAAAGGAAAGGAAAGGAAGGGAGGGAGGGAGGGACGGACGGAGAGAGGGAGGGAGGGAGGGAGGAAGGAAGAAAGGAAGAAAGGAAGGAAGGGAGGGAGGGAGGGAGGAAGGAAGAAAGGAAGGATGGATGGAAGAAAGGAAGCAATCGAAGCGTTTCCATGGCCTTGTCGGAAAACCAAAAGTTTTCAAGAGCACGCGCCTATTGAATGTCATGGGAACGCCTTGATTGACGTCCGCCAAAACCTTAATTTGTCCTGTTCGAAAATTGTACGATTTCGCGCGATTGAAAAGCGCTGTAATTTGGACGTCAAAAAAACCTATGTTTGTAATCCTATTAACAGAAAGGCAAGAAGAAGAAAACCAAAAGCCCCTGCACAACCTTAACCCATAAACAGTAAGATGGCTATGGAATGATTGAGATCACAAGCTCCATTCAACAAAAAAATCTTTCACGCCAACTGGCTAAATCTAGTGTGTGTAGATTTGTAGCTTTGATTTTGTGATGAGTATTCTACGCTTTCTTGAACAGAAATCAGTAGAAGTTGATTACTAGCTAGTGAGACACATGCTAACGAAGCCATACTAAAGTAGAATAAAGTTTCCAGCCATGCAAAAGAGGAGGGGCACCTGGAAGAGATATAAGAAGCACAACGAATTGGGACAAAAAAATTCGACAGTAACTACAAATTTAGTAGGACGAAAACCTGAAGGAGTGTTGATAAGATCAGCTGTTAGATAATCAAGCAAACATTGTATGAAGCATTATTCCATTTAAAGAACAACATACCAGATTGAAAGAATAAAAGATCAATCGAAAAAAAGCTGTGCATTATGTAAAATAAAGTATGAAGCATGGTGATATACCAGTAATTAAATAATTAGAAACCATTAATTTCGGTCCCTTAAAATTTCTTTTGGTTTAAAATACATTCAACAAAATTACTTGATTCTGATTGGACAAGAGGAGTACAATTACATCCCAAATTGTACTCTGTAGAGTCCCAACTAAATTGTTGAGTGTATYATAAGCAAAAAATCGCACAATCTTCTCAAACAATTCGGAATTCATGGATACTCGTGATGTTTTGAAAGTTCTCAAATTGAACTTGCCTAAAGGATCGTCCAATTTTGAAAGCTTGCAAAACATTACTTGTACCTATAAATTCCGAATTGTACTTGAGATTGTGCGATTTCTTATACTAACGTAAAAACTAGTAAGCACTCTGTTCACTACACTGTACAGATGAGAATAGGATGAATTCACACATCAAAACCAAGGGTTCCTTCACATCAAGATTATTTATTATGGGGGTTATTTTCATAGGGTATATTTTACTGGTAAGTGATCTAGGTATTGTTTGACTGACAGGTGTCTATCAGTCCAATATTAGGGTTGGCTGGGACTGACGTTTATTGCGTGGTTGATGGTCTGAAATAAAAATGAAAAAAGACTCTCAGGTGTGAAACTCTAGGTGGGGTGGGGGTTCTAGGGGTGGTTCAGTGATAGGGATTTGCCGATGGGATCCAAAAATCGTGACCCAATCTAAGACAAGAATATCTTTAAGAAAATACACTGTTTAAGACAACCCTGGATTTTAACCCTATTTGAAAGCCTAAGAATAGTGTAGCAGCGTTTATTGTAGAAGTTGTGCACTAAAAATGGTTTGGCAGTAAAAAAAGAAGTTTTGAAGAAAGGGTAAACTGATCTCCCTATCTTAGATTTGAAAATGCTAGATAGTGCTTGTTTATCCAAGAATGATGACCTTGTTAAAGACAATATCATGGAAATCTGAAAATATTACATTCAGCTGAACATCCCCGTAAAGGCTACATGTACAGTATAATTGAGAACCCCCATTTAAGAACAGTGATTGTTGCACTCTTGCAGCACACTTAGCTTGCTGCCAATCAGGAATAAAATTAATGTAGTAAAAAGAGAAAAAGATGATATCTTACTTGGCCCATTCAACGTTGAGAATCAAGTGATCATATCCAAAACCTCTCAGGCTCTGTATGGCTCTCGCTGCATCGTCACGGTAAACAAAATTGATGAAAGCAAATCCCTGAAATGAATACATAAATCAATGACAATTCAAACAAGGTTTGAACAGATTGTTTTCAAAATTAGTAGAAAGGAGAGGAGAGGAGAGGAGAGGAGAGGAGAGGTAAGGTAAGGAAAAGAACAGTGGCTAACATATTATTATGGTTTCACAGCAGATTTAGAAATTATGTTGGGGTAATTTACATCACAGTGCAATCTTCAAAATAGTCAAGATAAGTAATATCTTTAAGTGATATTTTATCAAAAAAGGTATATAAATGTCAATTCATACCTTAGACTGGTTGGTGAATTTATCCTTGGCTAAGAATATTCTTGATATTGGGCCAAATGGACGGAACAGCTCTTGTAGATCCGACTCTCTCGTTTCTTCAGATAAATTGGTAACTCTTATTGTAGCATTTTCATCTAAAAATAAAACAAATAATGAAATTTGATCATTAAGGAAATTAGGGGTGGAACAGACCCCTTGCATATGACATCAAAGCAGCTTAATTTGGAGCTCCTTCTGGATCGGCACTTGCTCAAACCCCTATACCAACCATATACTTCCTATGTTTCTCACATTACCTCTTTGAGAGTGTGGCATGGTTTCCCCTCGTCTGTTTGCTCCGCCATCTCGTAACCCAGGAGCAATGTATTTTCCTGTAGTGTTCATAGGCTGGGGATTTGCTGGTTCTGATGGTGGTGTTCCAGCTGGTTAGCAAGTAAAGGTTAAAATTTTTTATAAAAGAATTGCTATATAAATCTTGCATTATGATTGGTTGGGAGTGTGTGCTTTATGCTACAAGACCACTCATAATGCATAATGATATTACATAAAGCAATTGGGGTTTGGCAGGACGCAAAAATTTTTTTTAACTGCACACAGCATACACAGGGTTCGTGCTGAAGTAACCACTTAAAATTCAAGGACTATTCAAGGAGTATGTTCAGCTAACTATGCCAAGGTTTTACACGGTGGTTGCAAGTGCCCTTGAAAACGTGAATTAAATTCAAGGAGTTTTCAAGGAGTTTAAGGAGTAGCGCGAACCCTGATACATGATTGTATGCATTTTGCATTTTTTCCTTTAATAATAGACCTTAATTTTTATTGTCAGTAATAATAATTTTAAAAACTTGAAAAAAATAATGATTCAAAGGATACGCAGTCCTGCTTCTTCTTCTTTCAGCTGTTGTTGGATGACCTCCAACTGATCTTTATAAGGACACTTGGTGGTCCAATGGTCTCCTTTACAGATACGACAGCTGACAATCTTCTGTCCCGACAGCTTCTTTAGTGGATCATCCTCTGGAGCATCTGGGTTCTAAGTACAAACAATTTTTTTTAACCCATAAAAAAGTTAACTAACAAAATTGTCAAATTACTGCAAAGTTTTGTAGGTCTATGGTCTACAGGTGATACCAGCTGTGTGACTGGTATCCCAGGAAGCTGACAGTGCACACTTTACCCCCTCTCTCCCTCAGTGATCTGTTTGAAGAGTATTCAAAGCTGAAGAAGCATGGACTAAAGAAAAGTAGAAAAAGATGAGGCGATCCTGAGGATTAAACTGTAGACCTCTTAATACCACAAACTAACCAGCTGAGCTAAAACTTAAAGCTACATCTACTCCTAAATACTAAAAGTGCTGTTTTCTCCTCATAAAACAATACCTTAGTTAATATCAAATTGAGTGGTCAACTTAAGCTCAGATATTATCCCGAAAATATTTAAAGTATGACAAGCCACTGTCACCCTACATGTAGATGGACAACTTTATACCTAATAAACCATGTCTTAAATTCTCATCAGCACCAATGATTTACGGGAGGGAAGGACAATGCACAAACTTACCTCTTTACTTGAGCTCAGTGTCAGGAACACATCGTCACCAATGATGGTTGTTGAGGAGTCTGGTCCAGGTTTATCTTTTTCACAGTCTCCAAACTTCCGCCATTGCTATTAAAAAACGAATAAAAATGAGTTAAAAGATAGAGTGCTGTTTAATAAGATTACTTAATACTTGATATGACATAAGAGGCAGATTTGGAACATGGGGTGGAGGAGGGGGGTGCTGTAGTTCATATTTTGTAACACAGAGCTGCCCACTTTTTGACGCATGTCATGGTTCTGTAATGGGTCTTTTTTTATTTTTCAAATGGATTTATTACTAATTGCATAAATAAATTTCCTTGCCACTTGTGGACACATTCAAATCTTATTTTAGCGCTCCTCAACCAGAGTCTTTTACACTGACCAAGGACTAAGGTTTGGAACCACAGTGTAGAACAAAACTTTTTTTATGTGGTGTTTAAGTTTCCTTCTTATTTACTTGTTGTATTTGTTTTATTATCAGTTATTATCATCTTATCTACTAGTCAAAATGGCTTAGTATTTAAAAGTCTTATAGAACCAAGCTTTGAGCATGTGTGGCTAAAGATAGATTCACAAGTATACACTATAGCTTACCTTTCTTAATGCTATGTCTTTGGCTACTCTAATAGTTTCTATTCTGTAAGTTGTTACAACCTGTAAATTAAAAAGATAAATGTTTGAGAAAAGTTTGTTAATATTTCTTGAAGGGTTTTTCTCCTGGTTCTCCAGTTTTCTTCCCTCCACAAAACCAGGCATGCTAAATATTTCCATTTTGATCTGTGAGTTAGCTATACCCTGACATAGATCAGCCCAGAGTTTGTTTCAGACTTCAGTTTGTGAGTTAGCTGTACCCTGACATAGATCAGTCCAGAGGTTGTTTCAGGGTTCAATCTGTGAGTTAGCTGTACCCTGAAATAGATCAGCCCAGAGGTTGTTTCAGACTTCAATTTGTGAGTTAGCTGTGCCCTGACATAAATCAGCCCAGAGTTTGTTTCAGACTTCAATTTGTGAGTTAGCTATACCCTGACATAAATCAGCCCAGAGTTTGTTTCAGACTTCAATTTGTGAGTTAGCTGTGCCCTAACTTAGATCAGCCCAGAGTTTGTTTCAGACTTCAGTTTGTGAGTTAGCTGTGCCCTAACTTAGATCAGTCCAGAGTTTGTTTCAGACTTCAATTTGTGAGTTAGCTGTACCCTGAAATAGATCAGCCCAGAGTTTGTTTCAGACTTCAGTTTGTGAGTTAGCTTTACCCTGACATAAATCAGCCCAGAGTTTGTTTCAGACTTCAATTTGTGAGTTAGCTGTGCCGTGACTTAGATCAGCCCAGAGGTTGTTTCAGGGTTCAATTTGTGAACATTTTTGGTCAACATTTTGCACCTGCCGCTAAGCGTATAGTAACTATACCTTTAGAAGTTTTCCCTCCTCATTTCTCCTGTATTGGGTAACTATTTTTTTGTCACCTTCTTCAACTTCTGTGCGAGGKGGAATTTGACCTGAAGACAAATATATAGATATTACAATGTAAACTTGTTTTAGACAGGGAGGCTTATTGAGCATCTAGCTGGTATTTACTGTATAGGGGCCCTGCGATATCAATGTGCTTTTCACTTTGTTGCCATTCCGTAGCTTGAGCATTGTTTATTTGTTTAATGGTTTCATATGAGCCAACATATGAAAATAGATACAACTCAAACAAAGAATCTTATTCTCAAGGGAAAGACACATGTGCTGAAATAGAAAAGCATTACGTCCAAGGTACAGAGGTCTATTACAGTATGTGACATCACCAGTTATCCAACCAAAATACTTGGACACTGTACCATAGAGGTTTTGAACAATCAGACATTGTCAGCCATATTAGACAACAGAAAAATATACTTCCTTCACTATGGGAAATTGAATTCTTTCTCAATTAAAAAGGAACGTACATTTATATCAATCCTGCTATTCTTCTATTGCACGTTACATCATTGCTGCAATGTTGGTACCATTTAACAAAAGATTTCTCATTAGCAGGAGATACGGTCCAAAATCTGGAGACTCCCGGTTTATCTGGGAGAGTTGACAGCCCTGAGGCCCGATTCATACGTCGCGCTTTCATGTGCCGAACCTAATATCCTATTTGGGTCGACACAATTACAATAGGATCGACGTTGATTCATACGTCGTACCTAATGTGTTGAGCCAAATACTCTGAGCATGAGTAAGCGGTAAAATCAGTCAGCGGAATTACGGTAAATTGAAGCAATTCAAATCAAAACAAACATGGCGGACGATCAAAAAAGACTACTTTTTCTCCGTGCTATTGACATTGCAAGGGCAAGAAGGCAAAATATCATGCAGTCTATGCTGTTACTTGTTAGCAGAAGAAAACATATAGCCAGTTTCGCTGTAATGCTGTTGCTTCTTTCCTTACAATATGGTGTTTACACTTCGGGGACTATTGCGTGATTGTGTCGCCGCCTCTCAAGAAATGCCGGTTGGTGCACATATCATCCGCCATCTTGGATCTCCCAAGACCGTATCGCGCATACTTATTACCAAATACCGCTGCTTTTTACGTCCGGGCTCACCTAATTTTAATGTATGCATTTGATTCGGCACAACAGAAGCTCGACGTTTGAATCAGTGTCGAACTTTTGCCGTGCGGCTCGACTGGTGCGGTCGAGCTCAGTACCGCGTCGAACCTAATCCAGTCRTGCCGAACTTAATTGATTMATACGTCGAGCCTTTCATGTGCCAAATAGATACTATTAGGTTCGGCACATGAAAAGCGCGACGTATGGATCGAGGCTGACAGTATGAAGTTTTAGCCATCATTTGAAATTAGTGCTAATGATTGTACAGTACAACTTTGACAGGAAAGACTTCTATATTCCTTACCTGTACTTCCAGTCTCACCAGCTTCTTCAACCAAATCAGCCCAACTTGGCTTCTCCCTAAAAAACAGCAATAAGAAACGACTTAAACGTCTTCAAACATATTCTTAAAATTACTGTTTTAACTCTGAAAAGAGGTAATTAAATCTTACGTGTCCTAGAAATAACACAATGCTTCAGCCCCTAACTCAAAATTCACATACATGACAAACTAATTAGCTAATTTTACGTTGGCAAAAGGATGTCACAATAACATTTTCTCGAGTGACATAATTCTTTGTGAAGGAAAACGATATTTGAAACGAGATTTTTCAATCCTAAGACAACAGCCGGCGCCATGTGACAAATTCATGACTCAAAAATTTTCACTTTTCGACCCAAAATACCCTTAATTCTCGAATTTTTATACACCAGATGGGTTGAATTACTTACTCTGTATCAGCAACTGCGACTGGCATGGCGTACTGGTTTATGTTTGGGCCAAATTTCTCGATTTTTTTCTCAAAATTTTAGACTTTCTTCCACGTTTCCTTACAATCCTGAGCCTGTAATCAGCTGATCAGCTGTGGAAGTTACCAAAGAGCATGCGCATTATCCAGCATCCTTYGTGGGCAGGATTTCCAAGATGGCGGACGAAGTAAGATTTTTGAAACTTTTGGGATTTTTCGGAATTTTATTGAAAATATTAATTTGATTTGCGTCATCTTTATTGATCTTCTCAGGACGAGGTCAAGGCAGCTAAGAAACGAAAGCATAAAGGTATAAATAATCTATGTTTTTAGTATTTCGTGTTGTAAGTCCAACCCACGTGGTATGTTTGTTTTGATGCTATAAATATTTTTTTAAAGTTAGTGTACAATCTTTGCTGCTTTAGATAAGCTCAAAAAGAAAAACAAAAAGCCCAAAGAGAGCCAAAGAAATAAGAGTGTTCAAGACGAAGCAGACACGCTTGAAACGAAATCAAATGGAAATCAARATGTACATGAAGAGAAAAATCAGAAGAAAGGTGAGCGACTCTCTACAGTATGATTTGGATTAGTGCAGAGTCATATAGCCCTTATTCTTCATATTTTCCACATATATAATTGATACTAATTGTGTTGTTTTTGTGTTGCTGTGTACGACTGTCAGACTACTCCAAACGTAAAGAATTTATATATTGCATGAGAATAATCCAAACATTGTACAGTATCTTAGAATGTGTACATTGGCTTCTGTCAAACTTGCTTCACAATCTAGCAAGGTCTGTTATAAGACTGATGAATGAAGGAGCCAAGAACCTGGATTTCTGCAATGCATTAATATTACAGAAGTATAAAAACAGCTGTTTGCCATTGAGTCTGCAGTGGCCCATCACAAAAAATTGTTTTTGAATTAATGATATCAATAATAATAATGATAATAATAATAATAATAATAATAATAAAAATAAAACTTGCCATAATGATAATAATATAATACTTATATTTTACATTTTCTATATACATGTATAAAATGCGCAATAATTGATTGACATAGTTTTCCCTCATCTATTGTAGGCAGGGATTTTACAGTCAGTATTGCTTTACCTGGATCAATCTTAGAAAATGCTCAATCACCAGAGCTTAGAACCTACCTTGCAGGACAGGTATGAATTGCCCTCAACTTAGATACTGATCATGAACAAAGCACTCTGAAGATTACAGTTTATTGGGTTACTACGTGTAGATTTATATGAGTGATTTTTATCTTAGAACCTACCTTGCAGGACAGGTATGAAATGCCTCAACTTAGATGTTGATCATGAACAAAGCACTCTGATAATTACACTTTTTTGCGTTACTAGATTTACAGGAGTGATTTTCATCTAGACCACTATTTATTCTTGACTTTTACATTAATTCTTGAACAGATTGCTCGAGCTCTGGTCATATTTAACGTAGATGAAGTGATCATCTTTGATGAATCCAACAAATCCATAAATGAAGATAATGGCTTCCAAGGTGTTGGCAAGAAAGGAAATGCTAACGTTCAGCTTGCGAGAATTCTCCAGTACCTTGAATGTCCTCAGTACCTTAGAAAATCCTTCTTTCCTAAACATGTTGATCTTCAGTATGCAGGTATGGTAATAATGTGTGAAATCAAGGGTGGTGTAGTGGAAGTGCATGCTAGCCTCTCACATCTGTGCTCTTGGGCTTGTTCCAGACTCTGTATCAGACGTGAGCAGAGTTTGTTTTACTCTCTTGGTAATTTGACAGTTTTCTTTGGGTTCTTTAGTTTTACTCCCTCTGCAAAACCTATGTACTGTAACAAGCAAAATTGCAATATCATCTATATCAGGGTGGTTATATGTATGTAGCATAGCTGTGCCTTGACTTAGTCATTGTTTATTTGTACAAGGGGAGTGCAATACTGCTGCACCACCATTGATTCCCAGCCTTGATTTTTGAAACTTGCTTGGGAAAAGCAACGTAAAGCTAACTTTTAAATATTAATTCTTTAGGAGTTTTAAACCCTCTTGACAGTCCTCATCACATGCGCATGGATGACAGCGTTTTGTACAGAGAGGGTGTGGTCTTGGACAGGCCAGTTAACCAGTGGAAGGGGTCATTARTCAATGCAGGAACAAGAAAAGAGGTCAGAATTGACAAGTGTCTTCAACCTGGGTTAAGAGTTACTGTGAAGATGATGCCGACTACAAAACAAGGTAACCTAACTTTGTTATAAAGGCACATAATTCAACCTTAATAGAACTATTTAAATACAACATGTAGCAATAACAGGGCCGTAACCAGGGGGCTTGCAGGGTGGGTGCACAGAAAATGGAACTATGTCTAAACTAACAACCATCTTGAGTTCTTGAGAAGTGGTAAAACATTCCAAGGTTTCGCAGAACAAAAAAACGAGTAATCGATCCAATAATAACCAGGTAACATAGAATCTAGAATTTGCAGAAGAAGAAAAAATTAATCCAATAATGGGTAAACGATAATAAAAATGCTAGGATTTGCAAAAGGATAAAGGGAAAAAAATGAATGAGCCTTAGGCTAACCCAGAGTAAATGAGGAATTTTAGGAATATGAAAAAATAATATAATTCTTCAATGGTTTATTGTTTGAACTCTTCAAAGTAATACACTGTCAAATGCTTCTAATTTCATTCAATGTTGTTACCATTCCATTAGATCCAAAAATCTTACCAGGAGTCGTTGTCTCGCCAAGCACACCAAGAACAGAAGCAGGCATATACTGGGGTTATTCTGTGAGGCTTGCGTCTAGCTTCGGAGCTGTTTTCACCCAGGGTCCTTATGCTGAAGGTTATGATATAATGGTCGGGACATCTGAGAGAGGAAGCTTGGTAGATTCCCTTGAATTTAAACCATTTAAGTATGTAGGACAATGTTAATACTAATTAAAACAATGGAACAATGAAATATTAAGGTTACATTGTTGGTTTATTGTTATGATGCCAGATGATGATGATGATAGTAATGTCAATAGTGAAGATGATGGTGATGACTGATGATGATGACTGACAATGATTACTGATGATGATGATGACTGACAATGATTACTGATGTTAACTGTTGATGGTGAAGACTGATGATGAAGGTTGATTTGTGGTAAGGATTATTGATGATTGTTGATGACTAACAATGATTGATGTCAATAACTGATGATAATGAAGGTTAATTGTTATGATGATGAACATTGTTGATTGATGATTACTTACATTGATGATTGATGTTCATGATAGTGATGACAATGATAGTATATTGCTGATAGTGGTGTGATGATCACCATGGTGACAATGATGATAACACGGTGCCAGTTGCCATGATGATGTCACATGATGATGGTAACAGCAGTAGACTGTTTTCTTGAAGTTGCTTGTGCATCCAACTTGATGGGCCACGAAAATGAAAAACRCAAATTCAGTMAAATTGAGAAGACAGTTTTATATTTAAAGAKGAGAAYAATCGATTTTATGAATTCTTATCGTAAAAATGTTCATGGTATTGTGGCCGGCCATCAAGTTCCTTAAATTTGGATGCGCACACAATCTTGAGGAAATGGTCAGTTGACTTAGTTTCTTTATCTTCCAAACAGGCACATGTTAGTGGTATTTGGAGGTCTTAAAGGACTAGAAGCCAGTCTAGAATCAGATGAAAGTCTTGGAGTATCAGACCCAAGTCTCTTATTTCACCATTACATCAACACCTGCCCTGGACAAGGAAGCCGCACAATACGAACTGAAGAAGCGATACTCATAACTATGGCTGCTTTGAGACCTATCATTGAAAGGACTATGGACTGGACTTATATAGATCACAATATAGACACCCTGAGTGTCGGCAGCCAAGTATAATGCTTGGTCATGTGACCACAACAACTTGTGGTATTGTAAGGAGTGCCTAATGTCTTTAAAGACTACAACTGTTTTTCAGGAGCTGGTTGCCCAAGGGTTGGATAAAGTTGTCCAACAGATAATAGTCTCTAGTGTATAGTATTTGAATGTACAGGTTTCAACTACTAGATAAGAATTTATCTGGGCCAGGTTGTACCAAGGATAGATAGCACTATCTGTCAAAYAAATCCTCATCCAGTAGATGAAGTGTTTTGTACCTTGGTTAGCGCTATCTGCCCTTCGTATATATAGCGCTATTCAGCCTCTGTGCAACTGGCCCCAGATGAATGATATTTTACTGTGCAAGATACTGCAGTGGTGCACAGACCAGTTCCAAGTTTGCAAATACCAAATTTGCAGCTGTGAGTTTTATATTATAATGACAGAAGCATCGATACAAGGTTATCCTTGAAACATTGTAATTTATGCACTAAATATTATACCCAAAGGAATCCAAAATACCAAATGTAATCACTTGATCTTATCTTTATTAATTTGCGATTGATGATATCAGTTGAGAACAAATAAGTAGTGGTTATCCATAATAAGATAAATAGCCATTGATAATATCCTAATAAATAATTACTTTCACTTTTTAATTTAAAGTGAAAATGCATTATACTCTTAGGTGTTTTCCGATAATAAATAAATATTAATAAACATACTATTGGATTCATAATTATAATGGGTTTTAAATAAATATTAAATATTTGGAAATATTATTGAAATAATATTTCCAAACTTTGCTTACATGTATATACTTGTGTAGCTTTTGAAGCTGTTAAAAAATCTAATGATTTTGAAGTATTCTTAGTAGACAAAAGCTGGAGCACTTTACCAAATAACATATTAAATTAAATATCTGCATAAAGTCATTGATAATATCGTAATAAATAATTACTTTGACTTTTTGTTTTAACGCAAAATTGCATACTCTTGGGCGTTTTCTGATAAATAAATATTAATAAACATATAATGCTTTTTAAATAAATATTACATCGTAAATATTTGGAAATATTATTGAAATAATATTTCCAAACTTTGCTTACGTGTATATACTTATATGTAGATTTTGAAGCTGTTAAAAAATCTAATGATTTTGAAGTATTCTTAGTAGACAAAAGCTGAAGCACTTTTCCAAACAACATATTAAATTAAATATCTATATAAAGTCTAATTTAAATTTAGAACTTCATACATAAAGCATTTTGTAAATCAAAATTAATTTGCGAATTATATTCTCTTTATGCCATTGAATTGATATCTTTTAGCGTTTTTTCCCCACCTTAAATACTTCATGACATAACTTGAGTGCACTGCATTAGTTTTGTTGCTGTTCGCCCCCACCCACCCACCCACCCCCAATTTTCCTCTAGTTCAGCCATTGAAAATAATTTTTAAATTCCTTATTGTTGTTGTAGCTGTTTTTCTACGCACAATTTATCCCAACCACCCATTAACTTTTCAAGTTGCTCGGCAACTGCAAGCGTCAGATGATCATTTCCATTGGAAGCTACCAACTGTACCCCCATCGGCAACCCTGCTTTGCTTAAGCCCAAGGGACATTGGGTCACTGGAAGATATAGCACATTAAATATACCAGTGTATGCAAAATTAAATGGGTAGAATATCGGGACATTGTGGCGTAGAGCTGTTGTAGGGTGTGAAGGATATATCAGTACCCCATCGTCTCCTAAGAGGTCCTCAAGTTCCTGTCGCAAATCTTTGGTCATTTGGGTGTAAACATTAGTAGTTGTTTGGGGTACCAGTGCTTCAAATTTCTCCAGCATCCCCAGCCCAATCGCAGGTATAGTGTGTACTGATGCTCCTACCATAGCCTTGAAGAACTCACAAAATGGGTTTACTGGTGTTATTTCATTTCCCATGTAATGACAGAATGGCTTCCCTCTTGCCGTCGCCATCATCCTCGCCCACATTTGTAATGAATAATCAAATTTTTCGAGTTGGATTACCTCAACCATAACTCCATATTCATTTTCAAGTTCAACACAGAGTTTCCTCTGAGCCTCTAGCAGCTCTTTGTCAACTTTTGACACCAGGAAATTCCTCATGGAGCTCTCGATGCTGTAGAACTTGAGTTTTCTAATGTCGACAGGATGGTCAAGTTTTAGCTTTACTGCACTATCACCAGACAACACCTTGAAATGACAGAAAAAATGGTTCTAACTGTGATTGTGAATATATTTTATGATACCATGAAACTATTCTTTGACTAGAGAAAAAGGGTGAAATACAAGGGCAGATTCTGGGGGTTGATTGGGTGCCCCTCCCCCCAAGTTGAAAAACAAGAATAAAGAAGGTACAGTAAAGGACACAATATGATGCCATTTTAGGCAACAGTCACCCCCTGGAATTTGTTCTGGATGTGCCAATGAAAAAGTTGGAGATAATCTTAATCTTCAATACCTGAAGCATGGGTTTCATATCTTCTGCATAGCGGCACATTGGTCCTGTGCACAGGTAATGCTTCTCTTGTCCCTCGGCATTAGGAAATTGACCACCATTTGGAACAATATCTGGACTAGGTTTGTGACCAAAGATGCCGTTGAAGAATGAAGGCATCCTAATACTTCCACCTATATCTGTGGTGAAGAACAAAAAAGTGAAAATAAGAGTGTGATACTTGGTAATATCGGGAAGCATTTTGCATTAGTCATTCACTAAGAAGAAAAAGAGCCCAAAAAAATTGTCAGGGTTTGTGAAATTTCTATCTAACATGCATGCAGATTATATTACCAGCCACTAATCTATATATCAATAAACCCTAAGTACCCCACAATGCATTGTTCCAAATGTACCAAACCTTTTTTAATTATAAAACCTGTTCTACACTGTGCTGTTATGCTAATGATATAATAATAATGATAATTTCTACTAATTTTAAATGTTAATGTTATTTTTAGTGGTGCACCATAAAATATATAATTATTCTACCTACCTGATCCTATACCTATGACGGATCCAGCCGCGCCTAGTATAGCTCCTTCACCTCCAGAACTCCCTCCAACAATCCTACTCACATCGAAAGGATTATTTGAGCGTCCATAAACACGGTTAGCTGATTCCCACCACATGCACAACTCACTACAATTAGTTACCGCTAAGAGTATTGCTCCTGCATTCCGAAGGCGTTCAACGACTGGAGCATCATCTGTGGATCTGTAGCCCTTACGAGCAACTAGACCACTGCAGTTTGGCATCCCAACGACGGAAAAAGACTCCTTRGTCGTAAAAGGAACTCCAAGGAAGGGTTTTGAATCGCACAATTTTCTTCTTGCCTCTCTTTCCATGTTGTTTAACATGGTGTCGATCTTCCGAGCGTCGAGTGTAGCATCTTCAAACCGATCCTCCACTACTGCGTTGATCAACTTGTTAACAGCTCTTATTCTCTCGATGTAAGCGTTAATTACAGCTATACAAGTCACTTCTAAATTACGAATCTTTGTGGCCAACTGACTSGCGGACAGTCGAAGCAGAGGGTCAATAGGCTCGCCCACAAACACACTAGACATGGTGTTATTTGAGTTATAGACGACTTACACAAGGGAATAACTTATCGAAGTATTCTAGGCTATGTTTTAGCGCTGAGTTTGGATTTTTAGAGGAGAAAATAAGAACGAAAGAGACCGAGATTGAAGACACTCCCAACTAGAACCACCGCCATTTTTGTTTTGGCAATCGATTGTGTGGAACTGACCTGTAAGGCATGTGGGCTCGCGGTGCGCGCGCAAATACTTCTATTTTTGACTCTCTCTCTCTCTCTCTCTCTCTCTCTCTCTATATATATATATATTTTTAATCAGCTGATACTTGAATTTTTAATTGTAAAAAAATAGAAAATATCTTATAACCATTTGCGCACTACTTCCTCGAGCATCTCCAGCAAAAGTCTGTGGATTCTTGAAGGTCGTACAAGAGTGCTGAACTCAATGATCAGTGATTTTTGAGGTCTATTTTTACTTTTGACTTTGCACTTGAATCCTTTTTGTTTTTCTTTTGTTATGGGGTTCCTTGGAATATCCACAGCAAAGTAACTGTGAAAGAAGTTAAGTTACTAGATGTTAAATAAGAAGGCATGAAAAAAGGCAACTTCCTTTTTAATAAACAATTAATATTAATCATATAGGATTGATTAACAAATAATAACTATTTTAGAATGTTTTTGAAAGGAAAAAAAGCTTCTATATTCCCGAATACTGTGAACAAGCGAAGCAACTCTTCCTTTTCTGTGCACTGTCAACGTCATATAACAATGGATAAAGTCGAGCAAAAACCTAGAACAATAGGCTTTTCCAACCATTCCCCATTAGGTATGATTCAAGCTGAAATGTAAAGTTTTCGGCACTGTTTGAATTGTAAAGCTTATCGAGAAAATAAAGAACTATACAGTGGTAATATTAAGAGGATAAAACAGAGAAAAGAGAATGTCTTTTTCAGTTTACCTTGGCAAAGGCTTTTCTAAACTTTGGGTTAAACTTGGTATAAATGACGGCGTTGCATCCGCTGTTGAAGTAGGCGAGWAGAGAAGCCGCTAAGTCAGCTATTCCTGGTGGAGTCGTTCCTGTGAACGCTGACCACTGATTCAAAGCTGCGTATGGTAGCCAACATATCTGGATAAGAATTGAAATCGTTAAATTATCATAAGTGAGCACACMTTTGGTCGGCTTTGACCAAATCTCGATTTCTCCTAAGAAATGTGGAGTTTTGTGACAGCCCCCAAACATGGGTTATCTCCATTGCATGTTGCTTTTTGTTGGTTGTTGTTGTTCGGTTTGTTTATTTATTTATTTATTTATTTATTTATTTATTTTTGCTACGTATTCAAAGGTTTATTGATTTCTTGTGACACAAAGTTTTCAAGGAAATGCGCGTCAGATTTTTACTTCGCGTTTGCCTCCCAAAAATGGCGGGAAACGATCACGTGGCATTCCCTATTATTTCATTACCTGGAATACACCAATCACGATAAGGATAACTCGAGCTGTACGTCTTTCTTTTACGTCCCTGGAGACTTCTTTTGTCGCATTTGAAGATTTTTTCCAAGTCCTCTCATCTGTTTGCACAGACATTTCTTTATTCACAGAACAGTTCCCTTCTTGTTCTTGCTGCTCCGAGTCTTTTTCTTCTTCAGTATCGTTCTCTTCGAATTCGGCTGGATTTGGGCCCACAGATTCTAGCGTAAGGTCATTGTTGTTCGTGTATGACGACAAGACACCTCGTGTAGCGTCAGATTCATTGTAATCACTTGGCACCACCCTGTTGCTAGAGCAACCTACGTGCGCATGCGCCTTATTAGAACCCTCTGCTCCCACAATATTCCAACCACGTGGCCGAGCAAACTTTTTTGCCTGTTTTCTCGCAGTAGAGAAAATCTTATAGTAACAAAAAAACATAATCCATGTGGGGACTACGAAGCTAGATGCTGATAGAAATATCCCGTAGGCTGAGTCTGCTCCACCTCTTTGCCAGTATATCATACAGTGTTTACGGTCGTCTACATACACATACTCGTTCCATCCTAGAACTGGCATAAAAGCGAAGAAGAAAACGATAAGCCAGATACTGGCGATCATGCAGAAGGCCTTGTTTTTGGTGATGATTTTTTTGGTTGGTTGAGTGATGCAGTAGTACCTGTACGAAAAGAAAGATAGAGGAGTCTTTTCARATAACCAAGAGAGCRTAAATAAGAGAAGAAAACGTCTCAACAACGCGCGCGCCATGCAAATTCCCGGTTGGGCTATTTTTACGMCTTACCCTCTCTCATTTATTCTCTCTTGGTAAATTCAATTATAATTTGATCTGTAAGCTATTAAATCAGTCCAGAGGTTGTTAAAGGGTAAAATAATAAAAAAATTCATTGAAAACGGGGCTGTTACCTTTGTTTGTTTTACTCCGGAGATTTGATAGCAAGGAATAAAAACCAAATTAATTTGTCTTTGATTTTTTTRACACTAAAGGAAAACATTCTTTAAAATCTTCAGTGCCGTTTTTTATTCGATTTATTTGTGGAAATTATTTACCAGTTTAAAACATCTGTGAGGATTACTAAGTATACTTTTCATATGTACTTCTTAAAATTAATGTATTATTATCAATGTTGTTTTTTGTTTTTTTTTCTTTTCTTCATATTATTTGTTTATAAAATCAAAAATTAAAAATCATTATAAAATTAAAATCAATTTATTATCATTTATATTTTTTCATATTTTGTGTTTATATATATAACAGAAGTCGGTATGGTACGAAATTTATTATCTGTAAATCTGTAGTTCAGAATTACTCAGGAAAACACGATAGTTCAATCTTTTTTGAACAAAAAAGTCCTGCATCGTAAATAAAAGTTGTCATCTCAAAGAAGGGTCAACGGAAGCACTTCTATTCAAAGAATCAATACGCGATATAAGACGTTTAATTTACGAATTGAAAGATCTTGTAAATTGGTCGACGATGTACATAGCTTGATCTAATAATTGGCTCGCTTGTACATATCATGAAAGTGAGATTCAAGCAATGGATATAAGTAAAAAAACTAAATGAGAGACACCTTCTGTTAAGCGGACAACCGAGGTGCCAAGGGTGTCCGCTTAATARAGGTACCACTRTATTCAATCAACTTGCTCGAGTAACTGGCTACCATTTTAGCAAACTATAATGGCTCTTTGAATGAATAGGAGCAATAGCGCAGCGCGCTGATTCTAAAAATAGCTTAAAGATTCGGACAAACATTGCATTCTGTTTAACCGCTACGAGGATTACACGAACCGATTTCATTATTTTTACTTAAAGTTACAATAATAACCTATGTAAACTAAGATCAACTGCGATCGGCTGTGAAAAGTATCTGCTGAAAGTAAACTTGTAAGTTTGTTTGTCCGAATTTCGCCTTTGTCTTCGTTTTTATGATGTCAATACTGCGCTGCGCTATTGGACGCATTTCTAGCCAAAGCTAAACGCTGTGAACATTGCRTTGATTGAGTAGAGCATGTTGGGTTGGTCTTCTGTCCTAATTCAAAGGTTTTCCTTCGGGTAATTCTGCGCTCTCCTTCCTTCGCAAGACCTAACGCTAAATCCCAATTCGATCTGTTTTACGGATTAACTATTAACTGAAAGTCCCAAGGGCAAACACCTTTTACGTCTAATAWAAAAGAATGTGTGATCATACCTGTCGATGCTTATCGCTGTTAACGTGAGAATTGAAGCGCAGCAGAAAACGACGTTCAAAAACCCAGACACTTTACACATCACATCACCAATGATCCACCCATTAGCAAGGATAGCCAGCAGCATCAATGGGCAGTTAAATATAGCTACAAAGAGATCTGTTAGCGATAGGTTCACGATGAAGATATTTGTGACTGTCTGCATTGATTTGTTTTTGGCGACTGCTAAAATCACTAAAATGTTACCAAATAGAATAAGAACCTCTGTGAGAATGAGAAAAGAGGATGAAGCGATCACTGAGGCAGTAGAAAGTGCCATTTTCTCTGTAGAACTGAAGAGTTTTTAGCTATAGATTTCTTCCAAAAACGTTCACTCTTTTCCTTTTGTTTCTAAGAGCGTTGCGCTGTTAAAGTTTCATTTTCTACCCATTGACGAAAGATGAAAATATTTCATGTTCTCGACAGTCAACCAGAATCATAAAGAGTTCTACCTTAGTTCCAACCAATAAAAACGTTTCCACTGCTACAGCTGTTTACACTTACCATTTTGTTATTCATTCTTACATGAGAATAGTGAGCGAAATATTGGTTAACTTAYTTATTAACTTTGTTCTCTGACAGATTTTGAATATGACATTAAAAGCGTAATTAAAAAACTTTGTAAGAAGTTGAAGTATTTATGCTTTTCTCAAAAGACTACTTTTCATAAATGTTGTTTCGCGAACTCAAAGAAAAATATAGAATCCCAAGCAAACGATTAGGATTTTGTTCTGTTAAAGATGCAAAACGTGTATGCCTTCGTTGGTAAGATTTTGAGAAGGTTCCATTAATATGCGAATTCAGCGCGAATTCTGAGCGCGCAAACGGTCGTGGGCGAACAATTTGTAGATAATGCGTTCATTACTCAATRCAAGTAGATTGGTCGCACTGCTAGGAAATAATATTTGATTGTGAGTCGGTCTAACAGGAAGGAAACAAAAGAATTACGACGGAAGTTCAGTTTAAATGTGCGCGTWCTCTGCAAATATCACATCATGGACAGAATTGAAGCAGCTGGAAAAAAGTCGAGCTGCAAGTATTGAAGAAGTATTTGACTTCATGTCATCTACGAAAGCTTTCTTTTTCTCTGCTACCAAATACAACAGCGCAATTATGGAAGTGTTTACGATCGGATTAATGAACGGGAACGATAGAAAGTATCGGACCGGTGTGCGCGCTCCAATTACGTCGCCTCTCAACGCTATCGTTGTCGTAGGATTGAGTTGAATTTTTTTTGTTGATCTTCTAGTGTTGTTCTTAATTTTTTCCCTCTGATCGACTWTTCTTTACTTCACCAAAACTCATATTCAAACAACTATTAATTAAGGGGTTTTGTAGGGCGAATTGATGAGCARCCTAGCAACATCCCTGCGCGATCGACGTTAAGTCGARTTGGGTTGATTCAAGTGTGGGWTGGGRATTTGKGGTAATTAGAGYAATGTACTTCGAAGGGGACCCTGTTTCCCAATGTGCAGCACCAACCAGCGGTCAAAATCAATATAATTAATTAAACAATTACATTTTTGACCTAAACCAATAATGCAAAGAGAATTTCAATCCCATCGAATTTAAGATTAAGCGCGAAAAATGTTGGTTAAATTCAAATGCTCTTTATTTCGCTTTATTCTTATTTTTATAGCTAAATTTAATTTCAAACTACATAGTCCTTCATTGGTTTATTTATACTGCAAAATACACAGTTCAACTAGTATTTGTTTTAGATTTCGTAATATAATTTCTTTTAGTTTTTTAACAACTCTTTCAATAATATTGATTAGTAACACTAGAAGACAGTGTTTAATAGTTTGAAAAGGTTTCTTCAGAAAGACATGACACTTAATTAAAGCCTTTAAGGAAGATCAAAATCTAGCGTTTTTTGTATAATTGTTTCACAATTCCGAGGTCGAATGAATCTGCCAAAGGGTACAGATATAAGATAGAGCAGTCATAGTCAAAATAGTGGGGGAAAAAAGCTATGGCGCAATTCACATTCTGCCAATGGGTATAGATATAAGATAGAGCAGTCATGGTCAGAATAGTAAAAAAAAAGCTATGGCGCAATTCACATTCTGCCAATGGGTACAAATATAAGATAGAGCAGTCATAGTCAGAATAGTGAAAAAAAGCTATGGCGCAATTCACATTCTGCCAATGGGTACAGATATAAGATAGAGCAGTCATAGTCAGAATAGTGAAAAAAAGCTATGGCGCAATTCACATTCTGCCAAAGGGTACAGATATAAGATAGAGCAGTCATAGTCAAAATAGTGGGGGAAAAAGCTATGGCGCAATTCACATTCTGCCAATGGGTACAGATATAAGATAGAGCAGTCATAGTCAAAATAGTGAAAAAAAGCTATGGCGCAATTCACATTCTGCCAAAGGGTACAGATATAAAATAGAGCAGTCATAGTCAAAATATTTAAAACAATTATTTTAAATTTGAATTTGCCCCATGCACTTTCTCTTACACAATACCACTATATTCAAYATTTTATAAATTATATCAAAAAACGTAAAGCGCGCTATCTACGAAAAGCGAATTTAAGAAGATCATTTTTTTCGTTCGTGTTAATTATGTTTCTAGTGGACTATCTTGACCTTAAAATTTTGAAAACAYATTTGCAAAAGAGTACTAGATTTCGTTCTTCGTTGTTGAGATCTTTAGAAGTGTCTGGACGGGCTTCCTGTATTTTGTTTGTATTTACAGTTGCAATATATTAAATATTCGCTAGTAATTAAATTACATAAG